TGTCAGTTTGAGCCATAGGAGTCCTTTATCTTGTGCCTTTTTTTTCTTTATTTTCCAGATGGGGCCCAATCGGTCTCGAGGTGTAGCGGCTCAGCAGGGAGACGAGCGAGGTGAGAATTTTACTCCCCAGTCGAATTTGGAGTTAGTTTTAGGATGTCATCTATGTGGTCAATCTATGCATATATGTTGTAACTGTTTAATTTTTTTTCTAGGCGATGCACAACCCTTTGCCCGTCTGCTGAAGGTGCCGAAGGTCCATCCGATCAGAGGTCAAGCTAAAGGAACCCGAGATAGCCAGTATGAGGCAGTACATCAGCACAAGCCTCCATGTCTGGGTTGTCTTGCAACGACCGTCTGTCCACTTCACAGTGTGTAGCAACGCTTCGGCGTGCAGTCTGATGGGGTTTAGAGGTTTTTGACTTTTCTTGTGAGCCATCCCTAAATGTTTGAGAGCTCAGTGTTTGAGCATTTGCCCATTTCATTTGCAGGGGCGATCTTGGGAGCAGCTGAAGAGAGAGGAGCCTTCTAGGTGATTTGGGGAGGCAGCAGGAGAGGAGTGGGGATCCACTGCAGCTTTAGAGATGCCTTCGAATTTTGTGTCTCACTCACTCAGGTATCCCGGAAGGTGACAACCACAGTGTTGGACTCCGGTCAGGGCCTCGGTGATGGTGAGTAGGGGGATCACTGGGGTTCCAGCCCCGTGCCACACTACTCAGATATTGTGTATGGTTTTCTTTTTCACAGTTGACTTCGAGTACTCTCATGACAACAGGAACCTCTGAGCCAGCCCAGGTGCCCCTCCTCTGCATCAAAGATGGATTCACATCCCCGGCTCTCGGAAAGATAAGTGCAGGGCAAAGACCCAGAGAGGGGTTGGGAGTCGGGGCAAGTATGTGCATCGCCTGGAGGGATTTTTGCAATTAGTATGGTGCAATGGGTGTCCTGTAGCAGGTTATTTAGAGACCTCAAAGGAAGGGCTTACTTTGTATCATTGGATTCCCGTGTGCAGGGCAGAGCAGTTCCGGTCTGTGTCACGTCCTTTGTCTCCTCCATGTTTTGTGTCCTTCGTCTCTTAATTGTGTCACATGGTGTGTGTCATCACAGGTATGGGGTGTCTCACTTGGGGTCAGCCTGGAACTGCTCTGCCCTGCTACGTGGATCAGTGGGTAGATAGAATATTGCTCGGTCTCACATCAACATGTCAGTTCCCTCAGACAGTCGAACCGATGGCTGTACGGTCCTGCCGGATGGAGCAGGTGTCCACAACTCATGTGCAATCATTATAGCTGCGTGTTGTGGAGCTGATGGTACTTGGATAGCAGGGCCTTGAAGCTGGGTTGTCATTTGTATTCTTGTATGCTGTGGTCAGAGTTCTCACTCGCTCAGTGGAAATGAGTTCTTTGAAGTGGTTAAGGTCTCAGAGACCATGTGGGTGACCTGAATAACCCTTTGTTTTTTGTTGTTTTTTTTTCTGATAAGTGGACACAGTGTACCCCAGCCTGAAACAAGCTGAAGCAGCCTGGGAAGAAGGTTGTATTAGGCGTTGGATGAAGGATGTTGAGCCATAGGAGTCCTTTATCTTGTGCCTTTTTTTTCTTTATTTTCCAGATGGGGCCCAATCGGTCTCAAGGCGTAGCGGCTCAGCAGGGAGACGAGCGAGGTGAGAATTTTCCTCCCCAGTCGAATTTGGAGTTAGTTTTAGGATGTCATCTATGTGGTCAATCTCTGCATATATGTCGTAACTGTTTAATTTTTTTTCTAGGTGATACACAACCCTTTACCCGTCTGCTGAAGGTGCCGGAGGTCCATCCTATAAGAGGTCAAGCTAAAGGAGCCCAAGATAGCCAGTATGAGGCAGTACATCAGCACAAGCCTCCATATCTGGGTTGTCTTGCAGCGGCCGTCTGTCCACTTCACAGTGTGTAGCAACGCTTCGGCGTGCAGTCTGATGGGGTTTAGAGGTTTTTGGCTTTCCTTGTGAACCACCCCTAATGTTTGAGAGCTCAGTGTTTGAGCATTTACCCATTTCATTTGCAGGGGCGATCTTGGGAGCAGCTGAAGAGAGAGGAGCTTTCTAGGTGAGTTGGGGAGGCAGCAGGAGGAGCGGGGATCCACTGCAGCTTTAGAGATGCCTTCGAATTTTGTGTCTCACTCACTCAGGTATCCTGGAAGGTGGCAGCATATTGTCCAAGTCTGGTCAGAGCCAGCGACACGAGGACCTGCCTCGGTGCCGGTGAGTAGAGGGATCATCGGGGCTGGGGCCACATGCCACACTACTCAGATATGGTGTCTGGTTTTCTTTCTTGCAGTTGACTCCGAGTACTCTCAGGATGACAGGAACCTCTGAGCCAACCCAGGTGCCCCTCCTCTGCATCAAAGATGGATTCACATCCCCGGCTCTCGGAAAGATAAGTGCAGGGCAAAGACTCAGAGAGGGGTTGGGAGTCGGGGCAAGTATGTGCATCGCCTGGAGGGATTTTTGCAATTAGTATGGTGCAATGGGTGTCCTGTAGCAGGTTATTTAGAGACCTCAAAGGAAGGGCTTACTTTGTATCATTGGATTCCCGTGTGCAGGGCAGAGCAGTTCCGGTCTGTGTCACGTCCTTTGTCTCCTCCATGTTTGTGTCCTTCGTCTCTTAATTGTGTCACATGGTGTGTGTCATCACAGGTATGGGGTGTCTCACTTGGGGTCAGCCTGGAACTGCTCTGCCCTGCTACGTGGATCAGTGGGTAGATAGAATATTACTCAGTCTCACATCAACATGTCAGTTCCCTCAGACAGTCGAACCGATGGCTGTACGGTCCTGCCGGATGGAGCAGGTGTCCATAACTCGTGTGCAATCATTATAGCTGAGTGTTGTGGAGCTGATGGTACTTGGATAGCAGGGCCTTGAAGCTGGGTTGTCATTTGTATTCTTGTATGCTGTGGTCAGAGTTCTCACTCGCTTAGTGGAAATGAGTTCTTTGAAGTGGTTAAGGTCTCAGAGACCATGTGGGTGACCTGACTAACCCTTTGTTTTTTGTTGTTTTTTTTCAGATAAGTGGACACAGTGTACCCCAGACTGAAAAAAGGTGAAGCAGCCTGGGAAGAAGGTTGTATTAGGTGTTGGATGAAGGATGTCAGTTTGAGCCATAGGAGTCCTTTATCTTGTGCCTTTTTGTTCTTTATATTCCAGATGGGACCCAATCGATCTCGAGGTGTAGCGGCTCAGCAGGAAGACGAGCGAGGTGAGAATTTTACTCCCCAGCCGAATTTGGAGTTAGTTTTAGGATGTCATCTATGTGGTCAATCTCTGCATATATGTTGTAACTGTTTAATTTTTTTTCTAGGTGATACACAACCCTTTACCCGTCTGCTGAAGGTGCCAGAGGTCCATCCGATCAGAGGTCAAGCTAAAGGGGCCCGAGATAGCCAGTATGAGGCAGTACATCAGCACAAGCCTCCATATCTGGGTTGTCTTGCAGCGGCCGTCTGTCCACTTCACAGTGTGTAGCAATGCTTCGGCGTGCAGTCTGATGGGGTTTAGAGGTTTTTGGCTTTCCTTGTGAACCACCCCTAATGTTTGAGAGCTCAGTGTTTGAGCATTTACCCATTTCATTTGCAGGGGCGATCTTGGGAGCAGCTGAAGAGAGAGGAGCTGTCTAGGTGAGTTGGGGAGGCAGCAGGAGGAGCGGGGATCCACTGCAGCTTTAGAGATGCCTTCGAATTTTGTGTCTCACTCACTTAGGTATCCTGGAAGGTGGCAGCATATTCTCCAAGTCTGGTCAGAGCCAGCGACACGAGGACCTGCCTCGGTGCCGGTGAGTAGAGGGATCATCGGGGCTGGGGCCACATGCCACACTACTCAGATATGGTGTCTGGTTTTCTTTCTTGCAGTTGACTCCGAGTACTCTCAGGATGACAGGAACCTCTGAGCCAGCCCAGGTGCCCCTCCTCTGCATCAAAGATGGATTCACATCCCCGGCTCTCGGAAAGATAAGTGCAGGGCAAAGACCCAGAGAGGGGTTGGGAGTCGGGGCAAGTATGTGCATCGCCTGGAGGGATTTTTGCAATTAGTATGGTGCAATGGGTGTCCTGTAGCAGGTTATTTAGAGACCTCAAAGGAAGGGCTTACTTTGTATCATTGGATTCCCGTGTGCAGGGCAGAGCAGTTCCGGTCCGTGTCGCGTCCTTTGTCTCCTCCATGTTTGTGTCCTTTGTCTCTTAATTGTGTCACATGGTGTGTGTCATCACAGGTATGGGGTGTCTCACT